AGGCAAGCGATAGAGATTGCACTGTCCAGAAGATTGTAGTCCAATGAATATAGAAACTCAAAATAATAAAACAAATCAAAGCTAATTTCAAAACACTGCAACCTAGTTGTTCAAGTATTTCCTAAAAGTAGTAATGGGGTTTCAGGTTACTGGAAATAATATTAGACCTAAATGCCTAAATTAATAACTCATTCCTGTTTGTTCCATGGTAGCTGTTTTCTTTTGTTGAAAGGACTCTTAGTATTTTACTAAGAGTATTTTAGAAGAGATCAGTTTGGTAGTTTAAAAGAAGTAACTATCATGAACAAAGAAATAGGCATCATTTAAAAAACAATAGCCTAGGACCTGGCAGAAGAGCCTAGTGGCTGCATTCTCCCCGTTGCATTTGCCGGTTCATGCCCCGGCTGCTCCACTTTCCATCCAGCTCCCTGCTTGTGGCCTGGAAAAGCAGTGGAGAACGGCCAAAGCCTTGGGACCCTGCACCCACGTGGGAGACCCAGAAGAAGTTCCTGGCTTTGGATCAGCCCTGCTCTGGCTATTGTTACCACTTGGGCAGCGAACCAGCAGATCTTTCTTTCTGTATTTCCCTTTCTCTGTATATTTGCCTTTCCAACAAAATAAATAAATAAATAAATAAATCTATGGGAAAAAATCCTAGCATCACAGGATGGTTTTTTAAAAGATTTATTTATTTATGTTGCAAAGAAAGATACATACAGAGGAGGAAAAACAGAGAAGATCTTCCATTCAATGACTCATTCTCCAAGCAGCCACAGTGGCCGGAGCTGTGCCAATGCGAAGTCAGGAGCCTGGAGTCTCTTCCAGGTCTCCCATGTGAGTTCAGGGTCCCAAACCTTTGGGCCATCCTCAACTGCTTTCTCAGAAGCATGGCCGCCAGGATTAGAGCCAGTGCCCATATGGGATCCTGGCACACACAAGGCGAGGACTTTAAAGCCGCTGAGCTACTGTGCCAGGCCCGATGTTTTGTTTTATTTTTGTTTTTATGAAATAAAATAAAATCTTAAAACAGCCTGGTGGTCCATGACCAAAACAACGACACCATCTCACCATCTCCTTGTATTCTATGTCAGAGCACCTTAGCTCTGAGAAAATCATGATACCCATTTCCAGCAAGTAACAAATAAAATACTCAACAACAAATAGGAGGGTACTGCAAAAGGCTCATGAATAATAGAATTAACAGATGCATTCATTTAGGGGCAGGTGTTGTAGTGTGGTGCATTGAGGAACCAGTTGGGATGTCCATATAACTTCTTGTATTGCTTGTGTGACCCTGACTGTTCTGCCTCCCATTCTGCTCCAGGCTGTAGTGCCTGGGAAGCAGCAAATGAACGCACACAGATTTGGGCACCTGCTGCCCACCTGGAGACTGGAATGGTCTTTCTGACTCCTCCTTTCTGCTTGACTCAGTCCTGGCTTTTATGCTCACTTGGGGAGAGGAAGCAAATGGAAGATTCTCTTTTACACTCTCTGGCTCTCCCTCTCTCTTCCTGACACTGAATTTCAAATAATTTTTTTTAAAAGTTAAGTTTATTTTAGCACAGAAACTTTGAAATCTATGCACAATAGATCTTAAAAGTTTTTGAAAAATTACTATTCTGAAGAAGCTATGCATGAATTTCAAAATACTTCTGCAAAAAAATTAACTTTTCTTCATTCCATTTTTAAAGAAATGAAGAACCCTCAGGTTTAATAAAACACCATAAAGATTATTTCATGCTTATCAAAATGGCAGACAAAAAATATCTAGGAAACACCAAATATTCTTCTTTCCATAAAAGCTGCATTTGTCTTGTTGCTTGTGTTTATACACTAATTCCAACCGAAAAGCACAAGTTAAGAATGAACCGCCTATCTGTAGACATGCACTCTTCAGTTTGAAGAGCATTAAGGCCAAAGTTCAGAGGTCCTGTTGAACCAGCAAGAACATGGTCCCCATATCAGAAATGTCTGATGCTGACCAAAGGCCATGATAAAAAGGGGTAGCCACGTGCATCATTACTCACAAGATAATTTGGTGGGAGTCCACCTCTACAGTGGAGCACTGAACGTAAAAAAAAAAAAAAAAAAAAAAAAATTGTACCTCCAAAATGGCTTCAATTTTTGTGGCTGAGGCACAAACACAGAAGCAGACCACAGCAATGTCCAAAGGTTCTACAACTCCAGGTAGAAAAATAGCAGTGATGAGAAAGTTTAGGTAATCAAGGTGGGTCAAAAAAATAGTTTCATTATGGTATTAACAAGTGCAAAGTAATTTGATGGTTGCACTGTTTGCAGCAGTGGATTGAATTTTCATGCAAGTAGGTTACATTTTCTCAAGATACTGAATATCATCCTTGCAGATTTCACATTTTAGTCAAGGCCAGAAGAGAGATAAAAGATCGATTATACTGCAAAATGCCAAAGATGCCTGTACTGAGGAGAGTTAACAGTGAGTGTAATTTTAACTAACAAAATCTTAATAAGTTCTCAATTTTTGACACTTCAAATGAGAAAACAACCTGCATTCTTGGTGATTTGATTGATTTCAAGAGATTACATGGCCAATTCTTTAATCAAAAAATTCCTTACTAAGGTCCATGGTAAGTTTATAACACAATTTGCTAGTAGACTTTAAAGTTAAGTTCATAATGTAATGATATATAAAGCATGTTAAAATTACGCAATGCATTTTAATAAAAACAGAAATATACTGTCTTTCTTGGACTATGGGTGTTTTATTACATCCTAGCTCTGAAAGACCGATTTTCAATATACTACACACACACGATTTTCAAGCAGTCCAAAAAGGTATCTACCTGTAACACCCCAGTTTCAATACACAAATCTCAAAAAGTTGTATTTCCAAGGCAAATCCAAAAGAGAAAAAATTAGAAGTATTCTACCATGATTGTTTCAGTCTGCTACATTATGAACAAACAGAAGAAAATGAAGAGGCTCCAGTGAATCTTTCTGCTCCAGCAAAAGAAAAATTTAACAAGCTTGTAAAAAAAAAAACACATTGAAAAATCAAACTCATGTATAACTATTACAAAGATTCATTTAGTTCAAGTGGAGAATGTTTTTGGGTAAGTATAATTTCTTCAGTATATGTTCAGAAATGCATTTCAAACAATAGCTGCTTTATTAATTTCAAATCAAACTGCCATTCAACCACAAAAACAAATCCTTTGTTTAGTCTGACTTATGATACTTATCAACTCCTTTCCCGCTAAAGGCTCTTTCCTTCTAGTTTTTATAAACGAGTATGAAGGCTTTTAGAAAATATCTGGGTTCAATTCTCTTTGGGCTAAAATACAACACAGAAATATTTTTCAACTAAAAAGAATACTTGCAAAGTTAAGAAACATTACAGGCTAATGGAATTTTTTCCATTTTCAGAAAATTTCTGACAAAATGTCCTGTAATCAAAATAGATTGTATTGAGGGAAAGACAATTGAAGTAATTCTAATGTCATATCGTACAAAAAAAATAAAATAAGTTTAATTGTGAATTACACATAAAATCATTCATTCTTCTGATGTATTACTCTCAGCATATAGCATTATTCAATGATTTGTGAAAACAATCATCAGCTTGTTACAAATTTTTTAAATCTGTAAGCAGAACTTTTTTCTTTAATAATTTTGTGTGAAATATAGTAAGCTAACATGTACCTGGAAAAGATTTTTTTCTACGGTAGAGATAAAGAAAAAATATAGGCATGACTCAGAAATGAAAACAATATTTTGTTCCAGGTTTATATTTTTACTTGTATAGAGTATCTTTGCCGAGTTCATGCAAAAATAATTACAAAAAAAAATTTGCACAAATCTCAAAATTTCCTGTGCCAAAATAAATGTATCTTGGGACTTCATTTTCCCCCAAATTTCTGAAGAATCCTTGCACAACATCTCTGGCTGTATCATTCTGATATCACTTTAAGAAAGTTGGTCTAATAACTTTGCTTGTAATTTTAAGGTTCTTCAGATAATTCCTTTTTTTTTCTTTCTTCTTCAGCTGTCTTGACCTCATTTTTACTCAAGCATTATTACAAAAAGGGTGAAATAAACAAGGACCTAAGGCTGGGTCTATCAAAGAAAATGTTGATTAACTGCTTTCTGTAAGCTTTTAAAAATATAATCAATGGACAAACAGATGAGATTATTTGGGGTAGTACAGAATATGTGTGACTGCTTTGGAGTTTTTATTGTCTGTGTTTTGCTTTTTCAGTTTACTCTTATTCTTTCACGATAGTCATAATTCCACATTGAAATTCTTACAACAACTAAAAACTAGAAATTCTTCTTTGTACTAGTTTTATAATATTTTCTCCTGAGAACAAAACGTTGTTCTCCAATCAAAAACAAAATGCTGGATATTCAAATTTTGGAGTAAAAAAGCTATCAAGACAGCCAAGTTATTAAAGCCCCTTTTCAGATCTGGAACAACTTCTGAAAATAAAGAGAATACTTGGCACACTTTATAGTAAAGAAAAAGTGCAATTTCCATTATTTCCTGACTCTGGGCCTCCAATAAAAATCCTACAGAATACGAAACTCTTGCAAAATCCTTTGGTGAAAACATAACCAACCACAGACCCCATGATGAAGTAATGAAGGTGGATAAACTATAATTAAGAATATGACATTTTTTTTCTCTTTTTCTTCAAAGTTTAAAGGAAAGGCCAAAAATACTTTGGCTTTTATAACATCAAGGCATGTTAGCACCCAAAAGAAACACAGATAAAATACATGCGTCAATTTTTAAAGAAACAGTGACAAAATTGAAAACATCGATGAACAGGTAAATACTGATGACGCCAATAGAGAACTATTTGCCACTGCAAAGGGCCTAAACACAATCACATCTTGTCCCAATCATACCTGCCTGCCAGAACAAAATAGGCAGCTGACCAATTATGGGCTGTTTATCTATACAGTGGTGCCTTTGTTCTCCAACAATGTCAGATTGCAAACGTCCTGGAGCACATATTTACCTGGAGGATTCTTGGCAGGATCATTGTGGCTGGGACTTCCTGATTGTCCAGAATCTGTAAAGAAATCACAGAAAGCGTTTTCTTTCTAATTTGCTTGAAAGAATTTCACAATCCTCTAAAGGACTTAGAAAATGCTAAAGATACAACAATGAGGTTGAGTGTTTCCATATACTTTGCTGAGTCTTTCAATGGTAATATTTTTTTCGTCAACCTAGAGGAACGCCTAAACATATTTCCATGCTGAAGGGGGGAAAACAAAACAACTATTGCTCTATTGCATTTCATGGAAAGAGCAAGCCATTTCTGAAGCAAAAGGTCTGGCTCTAAACCCTGTAAAGATGGTTTGAAGGTTAGGCAAATATCAAGGCCTATCGGTACCAATAGAAAATAATGCAGATACATTCCCTCCAAAAACGCAATCTGAGTATAATTAAACATGCGTTTAAAAACCCCAAAATACATTTTTATTCAGTGAGCAAAATACACATGAAAGAAAGCCCACTCTTCTAGGATTCAACATGCATGTACACATACCCACTCGGATAATCCCCCAACCTCCTGGATCCTGGCCCAGATCTGACTACATCCCATAATAGCAATCGATTTGCAAGCACCAAGAAAAGCATAAATTACTGGGTTGAAACCAACATGGCTTTGTGGAGAGCAAATTGTTGGATCAATTTAATTTTCATCTGTGATAGATGGACATTCTTCAGATAAGAGGCAAGAAATGCATATAGTATACGTGAGTTTCCTATACTACTATTTCTCACGGATGCTACAGACACAAATGTGGGGAGACAGATGCGCAGAACTGCTAGCCAACATGCGGCTCCTGACTAAGCCGACACCGTTGTCTTTTACTTGTGCCTCTTGCCTCCATTTCTGCTCTGCATCTGTTTGTGTCATTTGCCCTGTATTATTATGTATTGGCTTAAGGTTACTTTGTGATCTTCTTTTAATGGTTCTAGCATTTAAGTTTTGTCTCCCCTGCTAAATTGCATGCTCCTAAGCAAAGGCAGAGTCTGTCTTCTTTTGTGTATCCCTCGGTGCACCATTCATAGCTGCAAATGCACCAGATGTGCAGTCAATGCCAGACAAATGGATGGTTCAGATGCAGCAGACTTTCCTTGCTTGTTAGAAAAGGCAATTTTTGGACTTAAGAGTATATTTCAACAAAATGTGTTAGGTGGAGCGCAAATTTCAGCTCTGTCATGGATTTCCATGGACTTGTCTGAAATCTGACCATGTTACTTCAGCCACACAAAGGACTAAATCTCAGTTAAGTATAAAAACTATAGGTTGGTTTTCTCATAAGTTTTATTCTGTTTCTTCCATGCAAGTGACTAACATACTGCAACTGTTGCTTCTACTGTTAAGTGCAAGAAATCTTGCCAGTTTCTTCCTGCATATAACTTGGCTATTGATGTCTGCCCTTTGTCTGATACCTGCTAGCTTAGCTTTAACACTGAGATCAGAATTTTACCTTCGCCACCCCATTTTCTTGTCTTTTTGTTCTTCAACAGATTTCATGAAAACTTAAACATATTTAATGGCTTCCACATTATTGTTCAGTTTCTCCCTGACCTCTCGAAATGAAAGTAAAGAAATTTGAAACCTTTTCTTCTAGTCTAGGTTCCACCCAGGATCCCCTGCAAGTCAAGGAGAGCTGGGCACATTCTGAAAACTCTCTCATTCTCTCTCCTCTCTCTCTCTCTCTCTGTTTTTGCTCTCTTAGCTCCCATGAATTCACTTTTTTTTCTGAAATTAAGCCAAGACTCAGTAACTTGTAACTTAATTAACAATAATTCTCCTTCTAGATTCCTATAAAAGATGGTACACCAGCTACACTCAAAGCCCAACATACAATAGTTACATAAAAATGACAAATTGTATTATTCTATTATATCTTGAACTATTTCTGATGTGAGCTCTCTGATAAATGTCTCCCACAATTGATGCCACATTTCAGTTTAACTTCTCAAGAGATGCTGTCAGATGGGCTCTGCTTGTCTCACACACACACACACACACACACACACACACACACACACACACAAACCAGACCCTCCTTTCAGTTATGTTTCCCTTTAAAACTGCCTTACATTTATGAATGTTTAGACGTGTATCCTAAAAGTAGCCAGGGCCACCTTTATGATGATTCTCCGTGAGACTATCATAAAGATCTCATCAGGAAAACAATAGCTTCATTTCAGGAGTCAGAGACCCCATCCATACACCTTGGCATACTTAACTACACCTCCTTCAAAATGGCACCACAATACTCTTTCCCATGATATCATCCTAAACTTTGGGTTCAAAAGAATAAAGAATAAAGTCTCTTGTACTCATTAAAAAATGTATTTGGGTAAAATAATAGCATTCCCTGTTACAACATCTAACTGATGTCTTAACTCTATTCTTTTCTACTGTAAATTCCTTTCCCATATCTAACAACTGCTGACCAATTTCTTCAACTGAAAAGATATATGCACACACAGACACACATACCACACACACACAAAAAAAAAACAGGCATTTTACACAAAGTTGAAGGAGATCCTAAATCTGAACCCCACGTCTGCTTTTCATAATAATTGCACTATCTAAAATGATCTGGTGTTTCCTGGCACTCAGTGGTCAGCTTACCTTCACACTCTAAAGCTTGTGCCCTCTCATGAAAATAGCATGCACTGCTTTCCCAAAACTCTCTGAAAGCCAGCAACAGAACTTTGCAGGCTGTAAATTCTAACACTATAATCTACTTTTAACTCCTATGTCAACTTATATTGGTCACTTAATTCTAACTGCAGGAAAAGGAAGTAACCAAGGGGTAGCAATTGGCAGAGAAACCAAAAAATGAACTGTTATTGTGGTTGACTTCAGAGAAGGAATTATTCAGACCACATCTAAACCCTTCCAATTCACCACCTAGGTCAAATTACTATATACTCAAAGGTTTTATTGAACCACTTCCATCTCCAGGCTCCAGGGTTGCCACTCCCTACCCTGACTATATATTTAATACATTACAGTGAATCTCAGCTCTGTCTTTCACTAGTGGTGACACCTCATGCAAAGTGACCTCATCCTTCAGGCCACGGTGTCTTGATGTACTTCATAGAATCACTGTATGGATTATACTATGCCACGTCTGAAAGTTCTGGGTCAGAAAAAACCCACACTATTCAGTGATATGAAGCAGAGTTATATCCAAAAAACTAATATTTTACTGGACTAACACTCAAAAAGAAAGGGAGAAAAGGCACATGACGAACTCTGTTCATCGCAGCGCAAACATCTCAACCTTTCATGCATCTACTGAACTGGCAGACTGCTGTGCGCCCACCTGAGAATTCCTGTGTAAGTGGTGTAGGGAGGAAGGCACAGCAGCTGCTTCTAGGCTCTCAGAAGACAGCAGAGACTAGCCAGCAGGGTCATTTACATTCCAAGAGGCCAATGTCTCTGCTAAATTTTTACACCCAAGAAAACTTATCGTAATTAGCTTTCACATGGATTTTTTGAAGTGCACTCATACATGGATTCTTCTAGGGCAAAAGGATAATTTAAGGAAGCTATTTCTAAATGTCTTTTAACTCCATCAATCACCTTTCCCCCAATACAAATAGTCTCCAGGTGTTAAAAAAAAAAGTTCACATCCTTGCATGAATTTTGTCAACTTCTCTTCAATCTTTTTGTCCATTTGTTTTACAAAAGCAGGGAATCTTCCATGGTTTTTGCAGTATCTAAATTTCATGGATGGAAAGTTCAAACTTCTCAACCAGTTGTTTTATGAAAGGACCTGAAATACCTAAGTGACTCAAATAGTGTGTCCGAAGTATCACAGCAACTGGTAGGATGTATGTTCTCCATATGGGCCACCTGTTTGGACTCACTGCTTCTCAGGTGGTGTGATGCAGTGTAAAGGTTACACAAAGCCAGGTGATCTTTCTGTAGATCAAATGTTTTTGGGTACTCTATCTTCCCCTAACTTTCCTCCTGCCCACCGTTTGTTTACCAGTGCTTTCAACGTATTTTTCAGAATTTAAAAACCTTTAGCTACTCTAAGTCAGATGTAATTATTATTGCCATAAAATTCTATACACTAACATATACATTAAAAAGAGGTTGAGTCAAATTTGGTTTACAGTCACTCTGCTAAACAAAAGAAATTTCAATGTTTTATGGGTAGTTGGGTAGAAGTCCATGAAAATGTTTGTTAAATATATGTCTGTTAATAAATAATGACCTGTTAAATGTTTATTTCTGAGCACTAACTTTCTGGAGTGATAAATAACAACTCTCAGAGCTGAGTAGATGACAAAAGTTGTGAAAGTTTGTTTGAAGGACCTTTATTTAAGTGCCATAAATGTAAGAGCCTTGTGGCCCTAATTTGGGTAAGTCAAATGAACAGATAATAATTAATGTGAAGTTAACAAAGACCAAAGACTAAGCATGTACGCGTACATAAAAATATGTATTAAATTTGGATAACTTTTAGCATCCCAGAAACAAGAGATATATAATCCTTAGGACTGAACCTCTACTTAATGCAAAACTCAATCCCACTTGCCCATTTCCTGAAGGAAGATTTGGCAATGGAAAGGTGGTAGAAAACAGGAAGCATTTTGAGGCCAAAATCAACTTTGCTTTTTCCTACAAAGGGAAGAGTGGTTAGGTGGGAGACCAGGAAGCAGGTTCACCAGGAGGCCACACCATTTGTAATGACCTTTCTTTCTACTCCTAGTGAACAATCCTTCTTTCCGTTCCTAACCGATACCAATTCCAGGAACTCATTTTGTTCTGACACCATGGCTTGATAGTCAAGAGAAAAATCAGATTCGAGAGATCTAATTTTAATTTCTGGTCATTTTGGTACAGAACAAGAACTGAAGAAGTAAATTGTCAGGCCTCTTGTTAACTTTGAAAATCTACGATTCTATAACAATATAGCCTTTATATCAAGGGATATCAGAAGAGTAAATGAAACCCACACTGTAACCTGTTAACCTACAGATAGCCTTTTGCTGGAACTAAAATTAGTCATCGTGTGA